GCCAGCTTCTCTATTTACGTCTGAGAGGATTTAAAAACATGACAAGTCGTTCCAACAACTTGTTTACGTTTGACTCCAACCTTGGACCAACTTACACTGCTCATTCAAAGACAGAAAATCAGAAAATGCATAATTACTCTGTAACAGACCTTAACATGATTTATACTTTGCATGAGGATTAAAATCATTATTACTGTTTCACAGTTAATTAAAAATGATTAGTTCACTACAACATCTAAAATGGTTTGAACTAAACACACTTTGATTATCAAACATTTGTAAAATAGTAATGATGATAGAAAAGATTCTTCTTTCACTTGATTAATTCAAGAAAGAAAGTCTCAGGATGGGTCAACCTGTATTTCTGGATTCAAATCAATGAAATGACAGTTTCTGTCCCATAAGGTCCCTAAGGTCAGGACTTTGACCTCAGGCCTAGTTCACTACACTGGGGACTGTAATCTGCGGCTCTGGAGCAACATGTGGCCCTTTGTTCCATCTGCAGCGGCTCTAAGTTTTGACCAAAACCAACATCAAACTGAAGTTTATTGGTTGTTGTACCAACAGCAACAAATGGCTAGTTTTAGCAGTTTTCTGGTCATTTATTTTGCCAACATGTGAATGATAGTAAAAGTCAAAGTTTCTTTATTTGTTATTCGCACCACATGTGGTACATGTGGTGGAACAAAATTGTGCACACAGGGTTCCAGTTACATTCAACAAAAGTATAAATTGTAAATAAAAACAGTAATAAGATTTAAGATATGAAGTAAGAATATGCTAAGCACTAATAGTACAAAAACAATATGCTGAACAGCAGCATGAACATGAGTCTGTGTGAGCAGATGAGTATGAATGAACACAGCAGCATGAAATAAATCAGCAGCATGAGATCAGTAACATGGATAGTCAGCAGCACATATCAACAATCAAGTGGCATTAGTGATTATTCTGGTTAGAGATTCATGAGTCCAACAGCCTCAGGGTTTAAGCTGTTCCTCAGTCTAGTGGTTCTACACTTAATGCTCCTCAACCTTTTTCCTTAGGGGAGCATTACAAAAAGTGTGTGTGCTGGGTGAGTGGGGTCCTTCATGATGCAGGTGACTCTCTTCCTGCATCTGGAGGTGTAGATGTCAGTGATGGTGGGGAGACTGACTCCAACATCTTCTGTGCAGCCTTCACCACTCTCTGCAAAGCTTTTCTTTCTGTAGCTGTGCAGCCTCCATGCCACACATTGCAGCTGGAGCACAGGATGCTCTCCACTGCACACCTGTAGAAGGAGGTGAGGACTGAGCTTCCCAGACCAGCTCGTCTCAGCCGCCTGAGGAAGTAGAGTCTCTGATGAGCTTTCTTGATCAGGCTGGTGGTGTTGTTGCTCTAGCTGAGGTTGTCATTCATGTGTTCACCCAAGTACTTGTAGCTGGAGACCACTTCCACCACAGATCCTCCTATATTCGGGGGGTGGGGGTGGGTGGGGGGGTTTGTTCCGTTTGAAGTCCACAATCATCTCCTTCGTCTTCTTCACATTGATGTGAAGGTTATTCTCTTTGCACCAGCTCTCCAGGTGTTCCACCTCCTGCCTGTAGCTGGACTCATCATTGTTTGTGATGCATCCCACCACCGCTGTATCATCTGCAAACTTTACAATGTGACAGCCTGGATGGGTAGGTGCGCAGTCATACATGAGCATAGTTAACAGGAGAGGGCTCAGCACACAGTCCTGGGGGGAGCCAGTGCTGAGGGTTATGGTGGAGGAGGAGAAGTTGTGGATCCTCACTGACTGTGGTCTGTTTGTTAAGAAGTCTAGTACCCAGTTGCAAATGGAGGGGCTTAGTCCTAGTGTGAATAGTTTGTCCATCAGGGTCTGGGGCATCATGGTATTAAAGGCAGACGTGAAGTCCACAAAGAGCATACGGATGTAGGAGTCCTTGTGCTCCAGGTGGGTGAGAGCAGTGTGGACCACAGAGGAGATGGCGTTTTCTGTTGATCGATTCTTGTGGTATACATACTGATGAGCGTCCTTGTTGATGGTTGTTTTGATGTGGGTCATGACCAGTTTTTCGAAGCATTTAACAACTATCGGGGTGAGGGCCATTGGCCAATAGTCATTCAGACCAATCACTGTAGAGCTCTTTGGGACTGGGATGATGGTGGCAGTCTTCAGGTAGGTGGGAACTGTTGCCAGGGTGAGTGAGGAGTTAAAGATGTCAGCCAGCACCTCGCAGAGCTGATTGGCACAGTCTTTCAGCACCTTCCCTGGGATGTCTGGGCCCGTTGCTTTGTGAGGATTAATCTTCCTGAAAGTACTCCTCACTTCAGCTGAGGTCATGCTGAGAAACTCCTCTTTTGGTGGTGAGGTGAGTCTGGTGCTGGGTGGTCTGTTCAGGTCTTCAAAGCGTGCGTAGAACTTGTTGAGAACATCAGGCAGTGATAAGTCGCTAGGGCATTGTGCACCTCTGTCTTTATAATCTGTTATATACTTAATGCCCTTCCACATGTTCCGTGGGTCTTGTGAGGTGAATTGACCCTGGATCCTCTGTGCATTTGTTGCTTTAACCCTCTTTATACCTGTAACCAGTTCTTTCCTTGTCCTATGCAGCGCCTGTGAGTTTCCAGACCTGAAGGCAGTGTTCTTGGCTTCCAGGAGAGTGCGAACCTCTGCATTCAGCCAGGGCTTCTGGTTTGGGTAGCTCTTAACGTTTCTGATGGTGGTGACGTCATCAGCACATTTGTTAATGTATCCCAGGACTGAGGATGTTTATTCCTCCAGGTCTAGTTCATCCTGATTTACAGCTACTTATCTTAAGACTGGCCAGTCTGTACATACAAAACAGTCTTTCAGTATGGAGTCACTATTCTTCATCCAACTTTTCACTTTCCTTTTAATTGGTCTGGAGTGTTTCAATGGGGGAGGTAAGCAGGGGCCATAAAGATGGAGATATGGTCAGATAGACCTAGGTGGGGGCGGGGGGCTGCTTTGTATGTGTCTCGTATGTTTATGTAAGCACGGTCCAGTGTGTAATTTCCTCTTGTAGGATTGGCCACATGCTGATAAAATTTTGGCAAGGAGTCTTTCAGATTTACATGGTTAAAGTTACCAATCACCTCATAAAATGCCTCAGTGTGTTTGTTTTGCAGTAAGCTAATATTATCATGCAGCTCCCGCACAGCGTCTGTAGTATTAGCATCCATAGCTATGTAAACAGCTATTATAAACACGTCTGTGAACTCGCAAGGTAAATAATATGGTTGACACTTCACTGTAAGCTGCTTCAAAGCCTTGGAGCAAGAGCAGAATACAGTTTCTGCACCAACCTTTATTTATGTAGATTCACACTCCACTTCCCCGTGATTTCCACGTTAGCTAGCTGCAGCGGTCCGCTCGAAAAAAAAAAAGTATTTTGTCCAGCTGGAACACTGAGTCCAGCATGTCGCTGTTAAGTCATGATTCTGTGAGACAAAGCACTGCACATTTCCTCATCTCCTCTGTAATACTAACACAAGGAGTAAAACTTGTTGACTTCATCATGCTAGTTGTTTGTTAGCCACTTCTTTTAGCTCACTTCCAGTCTTACGGTGTGGTCTTTTTCTCAAATTCACCAAATATTTTGGGGGGAATACCAATTGCTCGGGCATAATGAACTGAGCAATTACAATAGTCCTTCACAGCACTTTGCTGCTCGGGCCTAATTAAATAGACTCGTAATCAGTTGCAAATGTACATTCATTGATTACTTTCAGGGAGTTTAATTATATCCACCCTGTGATTCATGAGTTATTTTGCTAATAGACATAAAAACTAAACACACATACGTGGGTAAAAATGTCTAGCCTTTGGTAGCAGGCAAAAAATATTAGGCTCTGTCATGAAACAATTTATTGAAAAATGTTGAAACTGATAAATTGATGATTGACATTGATGAGTTGATTGTGATGTCCTTAATCTGCAGCCTCCTCAACATGCTGTCAGACCATTTGAATGCTGAAGTCTCTGCTGGAACTATCTCCTCCAAACAGGATGCCATGGACTACATCACCTGGACATACTTCTTCAGACGGCTGGTGATGAACCCCAGGTTGGAAAAAAATCTCACTCATATTTATCATTCCAACATTTAATTAATGCAAGCCAAAAATATGCCAACTAATAATGAATAACTCAATTAAGCAAAGTTCTGGTGGCACAGTAACATAGTGGTTGAGCTTGTGGTTTGTTGTGGCATTCAGCGAAGCGCTGCTGTAATCGCTCAGTTCATTAGACCTGAGCAATTTTTCTGCCATATGAATTGGCATTTTGGGGGCCTTAACATATCCCAAAACTCACCAAATTTGGCGGACGCTTTAGGACTGGTGAAAAATTACGTATTTTAAGGGCGTCTCAAAAATAGCAACAGAAACTGCTCAAGAGCGCCACCTGGAAATTTACAAAATACCCTCCTCCATGACCTTAGTTTGTCGTAGAAACATGAAATTTGGTACACTTGTCCAATTCCCCAAGAAGCACAGAAAATCCTTTGGTACCAATGTTGTACGTTAAATAGGAAGGCGGACATTTTGGAATGCCATCCCAAATTTCACACCTTTTTGGCGGTTTACAACCTCTGAATTTGAACAAACTCGTCCTAGGGATTTCGCTCAGTCGGTTTCAAACTTAGCCATTTTGTTCAAAAGGCATGGGGAACAAAAAGTTATCTAAACGATGTGTTTCGAAGCATGCTGAAGGGGCGGGGCCAGATCTCAAAGTTTGACATCTCGTCATGAAAAACAAAACGCGAATAACTCCTACACGAAAACTGTCTGAGACATCAAACCTTCAGTGATTGATCCACATCTGGTCCCCTGCAAGACGGAATGGTCAAATCATGACATCACTTAAGCCACGCCCCCTGAAAACAGGAAGTGTAAAGTTTTACGTTGAACGGTCCCTATTCAATTCAATTCAATTCAGTTTATTTATATAGAACTAAATCGTAACATAGTTGTCTCAGGGCACTTTACAGAAACATTCACATACATAAAAGCCAATTAGTAAAGGTCTCTATCTAAGGAATCCAGCAGACAAGTTGAATCTTGGCTTCGTTGCAGTCTCCCATCCTGAGCAAGCACAGTGGCAACAGTGGAAAGGAAAAACTCCCTTTAAAAAGGAAGAAACCTCCAGCAGAACCAGGCTCAGGACAAGCGGCCATCTGCTTTGACCAGCTGGTTGAGAGGACAGGAAGGAGAGACAGACGAGCATAGAATGGTAGGTCCAGGTATAGGTCCAGGTGTATCTGAAAGACAAAAAAAAGCACATGTTAAGGATAGAAAAAATAATTACAAATACAGAACGTCTGACCCCCTGTGATCTAATCAGCATGATAAGGTGTCCATTGACCGAAGACATGTTGGTGTAACTTGCTTTCCAACACTGACAGTTTTGGGTGGAGCATGTAGGTGGAGCGGCGTGGCAAAGTAAGACGTAACACTGTTGCCATACGTTTGGCTCTAAATTGCACAGATTTGAGCCAAGGTGCACAAAAAACACTATGATCAATCATTATCCACCCCTTGAACAGGATTCCATAATAAATGGCCAATATCCTCCACAGCGCCCCTACATTATTCCTACAGTTATAGATCACTGATACATCATCCAGTCTGCACCAGATTTATTGTACATCATCAGTAAGCACTTCTAGACACATTTATGTTGTGTTTAAACTTTTGACTCCAGATAGCTGCCACAGCGCCCCCTAGAATATTTTAAAACTTAAACCTCAATCCACCCCTTGAACAAGAATCCAAAATAAGTGGCCAATAGCCTCCACAGTACATTATTCCTACAGTTGTATCTCAGTGATTCATCATCTGATCTGCACCTGATTTATTGTTGGTCATCAGTGAGCATGTCTAGACACATTGATGTTGTGGTTTAACATATGACTCCAGTGTGCCCCCTAGATTATTCCAACAGTTATATCGTAGTGAGACATCATCCAGTCTGAACCAGATTTATTTTATGTCATCAGTGAGCACTTTTACTCACATTGATATTGTTGTTTAACACTACACTCCAGTGTGCCCCCTACATTATTCCAACAGTTATATCTTAGTGATACATAATCTGATCTGCACCTGATTTTTTTGCTGCATCAGTGAGCACTTGTAGACACATTGATATTGTTGATTCATGACATCACTTAAGCCCCACCTACTCAGAGAAAAAAATTGTTGATTATTGGATGACTCTTCCAGCTTCACCCTGTGTAAGATATTAGACTGAAACTTTGTTCGCTAACTGTTGATTACCACACATGACATGTTGAAAAGCATAAAGGAAGTGATCGTCAAATATTTGCCACAAAAAAGCAAGTCACAATAACTCCTGTCTGGAAGGTCGGATTTTGCCTATACTTGTACGACCTGAAGCTGGACAAGTACTGACATGGATGGAAGGCGATGTTGAAAATTTGGGAAATGCGCCCCGTGGTGAACACGTGAGGGATTGGCACGAGAGAGTTTGCAATGGCGACAGGATGAACTAGCTGGAGCTCCCGCGTCACCATAAGGCCGGAGCAGCGCTTTGCTGCAAGGGCCTCCAATAATTCTTCTTGGGTTTTCTTTTGGTACCCCTCTACTGACCAAAAACTTTCAGTTTAACTCAGTTTACCTATTCAGTGCCACTTCACACTGTTAAAGTCGGGAGCTGGCTGCGGGCCACCGGACCCGGAAACCCCCTCCGGCCCACGTCTTTTCCCCCGGTTCGAATCTCCCTCAGAAGTGGTAACTTATACTATCAATAAATAAAGGAAATGTCAATTATGTTTTACCAATTATATTAAAATCAAGGCAGGAAAAGGTTACAGTTTACAGCGCTGGTCTCTCCAGTCTGTGACGCATTCACAAACCCGGAAGAGCCCCGATGTCCCGTGTCATTACTCATTTATAAGGTCCTAGACTCCTCCTTCGCAGAAGGAGAGCTCAACCTGTCAGTGTATATGGGGGCGTGACTAAGTGTGATCTCAGTGGATCTTATGTGGTTCTGATGTGTTGGGAATTATGAGACGGTTCTTCAAAAGGCCTTTCTACGCGATGTGGCGATCAGATTAAACTCTATTCCTTGACAAATATTGAATCTCAGGGAGACTCTTTTTAGAGTTGCTGGCCCAGTTTAACCCAGTCAGAACCGGGTCATAATTTCATTATAATCCCGTCTCTGAGCAGATCAAAACCATAGGACCAGTCTAGATAAAAATAATATCCAACAACACCTAGACATCTCACAGTACTGTACAAAACATTTATAATCATTCTGAAATGCAAAATTGACACAAGTTATGTACCCATGGAAGCCAGAAAATTTTAATTTCCATCAAGCGATTTATTTACGTTTTTTTCCCCCATTCATGACTCAATTTTTGACTGACACATTAAATGGTCATTCATACTGACATGAACCAAAGAGTAAACATTACCATTTGCCGTCATGAGAGGGCCCTCTAGGCTTTTGACAACTATATGACTTGATCTGCGTCTGAGTGTTGGAACCAAAGTGCAGGAAGACGCTGAGAGACTCTGGTAAAAATAAGTAACACGTTTATTTTCTAAATAAACAAACAAAAAAGTTGTTGGGACAGCACATTTACTTTTAGGAGGACACACATGGGTACAGAGCATGAAGCCTTAGGACAAGGACAATCCAGAAACAAAGATATAACACCTAGGGGCTGAATATATACAGATGCTGACAAGGTGAAATAACAGACACCTGCGGTGATCAACATCAGACACAGGTGCGACAGTGCTGGAACACAGGAGAAGAAATGCTGAGGGGTGACAGGCAAACATGAGGAAAACACGACATGTAAGACAACAAGACCCCGGAAACCCTACAGGACACCCCCACCCCCAAGGGATGGCACCTGAAATCCCAAGGAGAGTACCATCCACTTGGGTAAGGGTGGGTGGGGGGGAAGACAAAAGTAGAGCACAGAAGGAACAAACAAAAAAACCTAAAGGTAGGAACCTGGGAAAACACTGAACACAAAGGGGAAAACACAGAAACCCTAACCCACCCACCCTGAGTCAAGGTGAGCGGTCAGGAGACCATCCACGACAGGACAGAATAATTAAATTAATTAAAATTAAATTAAAATAAAAAAATACTTTATTAATCCCAAAGGGAAATTAAATATTGTTGTAACTCGTTATTCATCGTTTCATTAAAGCCTGGTATCCACAGGTCTGGTTCTTGTTGTAGCCTGTTGTGTCCGGTTCTAGTGGGACCTCTATTTTTGTGTCTCCACTTTGCCTATAGTTCCCGTTTAGTGGGCGGATTATTGATATCAACGCACCTTACCAGCTGGTGGCGGTAGTGCTACATTAAGCTCTTTTCTAAGCACCACTAACATGTATTAGAAGAAGAAGAGCTGGAAAACAACACACAACCAAAATGGATGACCTCGATGAACTTGAAGCAGAACCAGCCGCACAGCCCG